GGGGATCGCAGACTTGATGGTGTAAGGTCACATTGTAGGGTGCCAGTTAGGTTTGTTATTTTTGCCCCACGACAGAAAAAGAAAATCTCGATCACTTACCAATCTTTGGGCCCTGGACCCTGAATACTCCCCCCCCCCCCCCCCCCCCCCACCGCCCGCATAAAGGCTCAGAGCCTTAACCACTGGACCAGTCAGTCAATCTTAGAACTCTTTTTCCTTCAGTATTGCAGTCTGTAGGATTAACATCTCAGGGATGAGAATCGGATCGGTACAAATTCTGGCAACCCGGTTCAACCGTACAGTCATATTATGGCAGTTATATTAGGTAGCCAAAAACGGTTTACGAAGACCTGTAGTCCAATATAGATGGGTCATTTCAACCTTAAAACTGTCTACTGTTTGAAAATAAGTGTCACAAAATCCGGCGCTGACTTGGAATTATTTTACTGATAGAAGGCACAGCAGTTTCAAGGGCCAAGGTTTTGCACAGACTACTAGCATGGGGGTTCTATTTTCCACCTATTCAAGTTTTTAAACTTCAAACCTATAATTCTTCTTCTTCTTCTTCCTTCTTCGTCAGCATTCCGAGTTCTTGAGGTTCATTGCTGCAGATATTACCCGCCTCCATTCATCTCCTGGTTGGCATTCTTTCCAGTTTGTGACACCAAGTGTTTGCAGGTCTGTCTGAACATTATCTCTTCATCGTCTACTTGGTCTGCCTCGTGGGCTACGACCATTAAGCTCCCTAGTGTATACAGTTTGGACCTCTCTGTCATTCTCTGTATGCCCCAGCCATTTCAACCTATTAGCTCCCATGATGCCAATGATCAATTGTGATTTAAATAGATTACGAATTTCATTGTTGCCTACCCTATAATAACAATAATAATAATAATAATAATAATAATAATAATAATAATAATAATAATAATAATAATAATAATAATAATAATAATAATAACAATAAGTGCTTACATATCCAGTCAAGGCATTGGGAACTCCAGTACCGACAAAACGTCCATAAGACAAAATGGCACAAACTGTTTATTTTAGCGTGAAGCTTTCTCCGCAATCAGTGCACTTCAAAGGTAGAAATGTCTATGGTGACTTTAGAATTTCAAAATATGCGCCGCCCCCTTCACATACGCCGTGACATTCAAAGATATACGTTTTTTTTTTTTTTTTTGCCCCCTTACATACAGATAGTCATACTTTTATTTAGGTTAGGGCACCGTGGAAAAATGTTAATTGAAAAAACGGCGCCGCGACTAGGAAGAGTTTGGAAAACACTGAGATGACAGTCTATTATATTCAGACCACGGCCTTCTCTATATTATTAGAGAAGGCGTTGGTTCAGACAGAGGACTGGGCACAACAAGACTTCGTCAACATATGTTCAAATTTGTCGGTGTAGGAAACACGAAAACGTGTCCCTGAAGAGTGGCACCTGAAAATGCTGAGCATGTTCTTCAACACTGTCAACTGTATGCTGACAACAGAGACGCAATCTGGCCTGTTCCAACCACAACGAAGACAAAGCTGTGTGGTACACGCTACGATCTGGACTGCACGATAGCTTTTATAAAGGCTACCGGCCTCCTGATATAAGTTTTCTGACAGAAGGATCGAATAAGAATAAGAAGAATGAGTTAAACTATAACGACTATGTAATCTTTACCTCATGAACAACTACTCCCAGCTACACCATTCAGTCGTTCTACACATGTAGCTCAGAACATTTTGCAGTCAGATGCTGATCGCGCAGATGCTTTTTGATTTCATGCCTGTAATCCTGACTGCGGAAAGGATGAGAGCTGAGCCTCTGAGAAGAAACAGACTAAACACAAATGTTGACAATAACGGCCCTGAAATTCCATGATATAACTGTGGAAGACTTTTCTGTGGAAGGCACCTTTCCGTCTTTCCAGACGATAGTGTTATACTGCGCTATGGGGAGGCATGGGACTCACAGCCCATGGCAATGGCGAGTGTGACTAGCAAGACCCGCCCGTGTCAAGAAAAGTCTTTCACAATGATAACATGAGATTTTAGGACCATTGTTGTCAACATTTGTGTTTAATCCGTTTCTTTTCAGACGCTCAGCTCTCATCCTTTCTGCGATCATTTCTTCCTTCAGTCTCATTCCCTTTCTGATATGCCCTTTCCACACAACACGGACCATGGCATTTTGTTACCATGAGTCTGCCCCAATACCTGTATCATTCATGTTCCGCTTGCACACATCTTTATATCGTAGTAGAGGTCGGCCTCGACATCTTCTTCCTGTCTTTAATTCACCAGATAGAAGAAGTTATAGGGTCCTGCTTTATGCTCTTCTGGCTGCCTCGACCATAGACACATTGTGGTGCTGCAGTTTCTCTGATCTTATCTTTCCATTTTTTTTTGGTCTACCTCTTGCTCTACGTCACTCTCCTCTTTTTTTTTTTATATGCCTTGTATGGCACAAAACTGTGCTGCCATCTTGATACGTAGAGTGATGTCCGTTGTGCCTTGTCCAGCATGTGACCGAAAATAGCAGATGACATCAACATAAAACACGGGCCAGTTGTCACAGTGATATTTCGCTACTGAATTACCAGTTCTTGGTGATATTTTCTTTTTTGTTATTTTATGTTATTCGACACTTTAATTTATAAGAATGTTTTTTTTTTTCCAACTTCTTATTAACAGCTTGGCATTTTTCTTTTAGTCTTCCTCTTTTTAATCAAATTTTATAAAGAAGGTGGAGGGAGGTCCTTGCCACCATCATCACACACACACACGTATATATATATTAATATATAGAGGGTGCCACATGAAGAAAGTTTTGATCCCCTATTTTACAGAAACATAAATATCTAATATTATCTACTGCCCAAAAGTAATCAAACCAGTAGATCTTCAGGCTGCATTAGTCTGAATGTTGAATTAAGAATTGACATGACAGCACTCGGAACACCCCCCATAAGCGCTCCGTCCCTATCTTCAGCAGCAAGTGAAGAGTTGAAATTCCGATGGTACCAATAACAGTCTGCTTGTATATCCGTCTTACCTTTCCACTCAGTGTCGAGCGTCGGCCAGATTCCCTTGTAACTCTTCGCAGTGCCATTCTCCTCAGACCATAATGATCTGTCTGTGCCTCTGAACTGTTCACTCGCTCCCAAAGGACCCTCACAACATCCTGCCTGTCATACATCAGTTCACCACCAAGTGGGGCAGAACCAGCCAGTCTATCTGCCCGCTCATTTCCCAACATACCGGCATTACTTGGAGAAAACATCCAAAGGATGCTGACTATCTGAGACCTGCATTAGTTGAAGTGCTGACATTCTCCTCAGCCTAGACTGTCACTTGTTGGCTGGCTGTTACCAATAGGATAGTTCTGTATGCTATAATTTACACTGTCCTATTTGTGTGGAGCTAAAACGTGTCATATCTGGCAATTATTTTCTGCTTATTACCATCTGTTCACGATCTCCTCTCCTATAAACTATACTGGCATCAATAATCAGGCAAATGAGGTGCAGTAAATTTTGTCAAATGATGAGATGAGATAGATTATTATATATTTAGAACCAAGTCTCCGTGATGAAGTGGTCAAGCCTTTTGTCTTGTGCTCTGAAGGTTGTGGGTTCATTTTAAGGTGGTGAGGTTCCGTTTATGAGTGCAATTTTTACGGAGATCCCTGGGGACTGTCGCCGGATCTCGGCAGGCAGCTAGCTATTCTGCACAGAGAGACTGAGTCATATGGGGTAAAATCCAGTGCAATGAAGTTGATCCGTTTACCTTTACCTTTATATGTGAAGAACCAATCTTTCATGTGTTAGGAATCTATGATACAGATGTTCTTTCACTCAATGATGCTAGACTAATATCTGTCTTGGTCTCATCCTGCCTCTCCTCCCCTTCAACTTTATATTGTCATGGTAACTGCAGTTTTCTCATGTTGACATGCACAAAGAACGTGAATAGCCTCACAATGGGTTCTAGAGCTCCTTCGTGGAGGAAAAAAAAAAAGAAGCCCAACAGATCAGCAGTTGCACACGCGATCAATTTTAATCACATATTGGCACCACCAATATTGTGACAACAGGCATCGCGCCATTTTTTTGAATCTACCATTCACACCACCACGTTGGTCACAGCCGAAAACATTCCAAATGAAATTCGCAGCTCACAGTGTCACGCCGTGCACTCAACTCAAAAGCTAGGCGATAAAACTATATTCTTTCAGTCTACAAATGGAGCAAAACATGCAAAGGCCAAAGTCTTGCAGAAGCAAAAAAAAAATTGCCACGGCTCCAAACAGTGGCCATGCCTAGCGTCCATTTTGACTGGAAGTCACCACTATTAAAAGCAATGCTAGGTACTTTACTGCCAAATAACCCAAAACGTCGAACCTGAGAATTATGAAGCAAGTTCACAACGCCTAAGCCACAGACGCTGACAACTTGGGCATACAATGTCCATACATAATCACAACCTTTATGCACAAAATAAATGAAGACCACTGGTAATAGGCTTCATTATTTCATGAAAATAATTCACCAAACACTCGACCTAAAAACTCAACAAGATTGGAAAGAGAAAATAAACACAGATCTTTGTCTATTTTCCTCCATTCACCTTAATGAGTTTTCAAGGCACCACATAGAGTCCTGTCCTTTAGACATAATGGAAGCAGAGGCAGAGATCGACCACTCTCAAGCAATGGATAGAGGGAATATCCGAGGCCGTAAATACCAACATCTATGTAGCATATACCAAGGCTTGCGCCCCATGATTCTGCGAAACTTAATGCTGTAACGTAGAACTGGATTAGAGAAGGAGAAAAAGAAGGAGAAAAAGAAGAAGAAGAAGAGCTTTCAAGGCATAATTATTGTCAGCTCATTTATTTCTTGATATTATCTTGACTTTAACTATAGGTATCCCTATTTTCAATATGTTTGTATTATTTCATGGTGTAACTAACTCTTTAAAAAATGTATTTCCAATTTCAGAATTCAATTCGACATAATCTTTCCCTGCACAGCCGTTTCATGCGTATTCAAAACGAGGGCACAGGGAAGAGCTCTTGGTGGGTACTGAATCCTGACGCTAAGCCAGGAAAAACTCCCAGGAGACGCGCAGGAAGTATGGAGCAAACAAAGTGTTACGAAAAGAAACGCGGCAGAATTAGGAAGAAGTTAGAAGGTCTCCGGGCCAATTTAGAAAATGGAATTTTATCACCAAATGGTTGTGATGACTTTCTGGATGGCCTAGGTTATGTTGGTAACTTCAGAGAAAGAACTGGCTCTAGTACAAGCAACTGTAGTCGGCTGTCCCCGATCAGCGCTATGGCTGAAGCTGACCTCAGCAGTAATGTCGGTCAGTCCATATCGTCAAACCATTGGTCATCAGAGGTCAGCAACTCTCCAACCATGTACCCTGAAAATGTGTATTCGGTAGTGCCCCTTTTGGGAGGGATGAATCTGTCCAACCACAACAACTTTACAATGGATATAGCCAACAGTATGAATGGTACATATCTTTCTGACAGCTCAAGTGACTACAGCCAGTCATCTCCAGGTGTAGACAGTCAGTACCCACAGCTTCCTACCCCATCACCTTATATAAGCCAACAGCAGCAGCAGCAACAGATGAATGCCATGGAGTTTCACCCACAAAACATCAACAACACACAGAGCTTTAACAATGCACCGCAACTGCACGTTAGGCCAAATCCTGTCAATAATGGTCCAGCTTCTTTCTCACCAGCCGAACTGTACAATGAAAACTACAGTGATTCAGTTTTGGGCATGAAACCAGATGCATTATCTCCAGTTCACATGTCCTCACCGGGCAGCCTAACTGTAAACACCCATCTCAACTCACCAGAACAAGGAAGCCCGAATTCAGGCCCGTTTACTCACCACAGCCCACACCAGGGGCTACAGCCACAGACAGGGCATGCTAGTGGGCTCACCCAACATGCTTGTCAGTTGTCTCCTCAGCAGAATGGACACCTCAGACAACAGCATCCCAGCTCAGCCATGTCTCTGCAGCAGCAGCAGGCTCTGCACCAGGCTGCTTGTGACTCAATTCTACGTGATGCCCTCACACGAGGAGCTGCAGGCTTCAGACCTCCCACAGCTACTAATGGGTCATCCCCTGCTTTAACTCTACCCCATCAAGGTTCAGGAAACATGAACAACATCCCGTGCAGTGGGTTTGCTCTGAACTCGAACCAATTTACATATTTTCAAGCTTTGAACGCAGGACATTTTCATGGAAAGAATACAAACTGTACACATAATCATGCAGTATCATTTCATGGTGTTGGAGGTGTAGGCAGCAGCACCATGGGACTTCCGGTGGATATTGACATGGAACTTATGAGTATGTCTGCTATGGATTATGACATGGAGCAAGTCATAAAAAATGAGATCATGTTCGAAGGAAAATTGGACTTTACTTTTGACTCAGGAGCGGCAGCTGTAGGTCAGAATGTGGTTCACTGAAAGGGAATGCTCACAACATCTGAGTTTACAATTCTTTTGCTTTATATTAATTAACCTTAGATAAAGATTTTTACATTTTTTGTTCTATGGAAATGTATGAGAATGACAGGACGTGCCTACTTGGTATAACATCTTACAAGCATTTTAAACATTAGAGGAAAACAGTTTTCAAACAATGAGTTGAATTGTTTGCAATATAAATCTTATGATTAAGAAAAACAAAGTAAGTAATAGACCTATATTTAAACTTTGATGTACATCATGCTCCATATTTTAATAGATAACCGGCCTTTAGTTGGTGAAATTAAAAGCATTAGGCTAACTGGTTGCTCACGGGGAGCATTGCACAAACGCCAATCCTCCGGCAAAAACACATAGGCATCTCTAAATCTTGCATTCACAAACTGGTCTACAGAGTTTAAAACCAAATACACACCCTTCACAAATCAAGGTAAACGGCTCAAAAACTTCACTACTTAAGCCCCCTTTGGATAGTACATTAAGAGTATACAAGATCTTAACCTACCCCTTCAGAAAGAAACAAGTTATAGATCTACACATGCTTAGTCTCCCACAAGAATGTGTAGAGTTGTTCATGAAACTAGTAGTTCAGATTGATTCCATGAAAGTGGCAGAATCTATTCTTATCATTACAACTAAGAGATCAACCCAGTGTTGGACAATATATTGCTGAGAAGAATAATGCTTTACTGGAAATAGTATCAAGGGGCCGTGTTAGCGCAGTCGATAAGAGGTTCGCTTTCAAATCCAGCTGTGATGAAACCGGGCGGCCCCCATGGTTCACCCAGCCTCTAGGAAATGGGTACCAGAGTTGACACTCTAGGGTAAATTAAGGAACGTTGCTGTAGCCACAGAGTTACATGCGGACAGTGACACAGGCGGACAATTCTTATCAGCTGTCCATTCTGGTGGCAGAGCACTTATGGTTTACAACCGTGTGCAATGACGCTGGTTCACATCTCCTGACTTTACTTTTTTTACCTTTAGTATCAAAAGGCATCAACTATAAGTATTTGAAATTAACATATTTTTATGACAGAGTTCTTGAAGGCTAAATACTAATCTTTCTGTTGGGGGTGAGGGGATGTCCATAAGAGAATCAAATAGAATAGTAACATTGTAATCTATCATACATGCCATAAAAATCAATAACAAACAAACAAAACCGAACTAAATAAAAGCTTATAAAAAGGGCTCATATAAGGGGGCCTAGGTGGTCCTACTGAAAACTTTAACTTTAAAATCCAGCTAACCATGAACAAGTCCAAGACCTGGCTTGAACTGGCTGAGGACCTCAGGTTCATGGGAAGGCACAGATGACCTCAACTACCAGGAACTGAAAATGCAACTTCTGTGATGGAGAGTGAATGTACTAGCTTCAACATTAGACAAGACTGGTACTGATTAAATCAAAACATGTCTTGAGGTTTGGAATGAACTGGTTGATGGCCTCTTTATTCCACAGAGAGATAAATTCAAAGTAGAAGAGTTACAGATTCTAATATTTACAAGTTTGATAAATACAAGAATGTTTTTTTTTTTTTTTTAAATATTTGTACCAACCATATACTTGATTGAAAAGATAACGTTTTTTGAGACTGCAGCAATTTTATTTATTTTATTTGTTTCTTATCTATTGCTATTACATGTTTACTTTTGCATTTTGCTGAAAACAGGAAATTACACTTTGTCCTGATTAATGTGAAAACTAAATTATGTTTTTAAATCATTAATCTCTATTTATTTTAATAAATCATTTTTATTTTCTTGTAAATAGTAACTGAGTAAATTTATATCACAATTTTAAAATTATATCTGGAGATGGGATAGATAGATACAGTTGGTAATTTTGTCAGCATTGTAAGTTCACGGTTTTGTTAAACTTAAGGACTATGTATGTTTGGATATTATTCATGTGCATCAGTCAACATATTATGTTTGCTTGTACTTGTTTTTCTTCTTCTTCTTCTTCTTCTTCTTCTTCTTCTTCTTCTTCTTCTTCTTCTTCTTCTTCTTCTTCTTCTTCTTCTTCTTCTTCTCTTCTTCTTCTTCTTCTTCTACTTCTGCATCACCCTTAAAGAGTGAATAACATGTTTTGTTGTAGCTCACAGTTAGACTGCATCTCTGTGCCTTTCAGCCCAACACATCCAGTTTCAGCAAAATCCTTAATTTATAAAAATGCTTGTTAACTATTTCAGTCCAAAGGAACGCAGCATACTTAGGCCTCAGACTCTAAAGCCCCTGGGAATTAAAGAGAAAGAGTTAAGGGACAGTGGGGTCCATTCCTTTTCCTGGTCACACAAAATGGGGCCCTAAAACCTATTAAGGGAGGGATTAGTGATTAGCGATTAGAAAGGATTATCATCACAGCGCTCTGACAGATCCATAGGTGCTCCGATCTCCTCTTCAAAAAGTTCCACAAGTGTAAAGCGACTGATGACACCGGTTCTGCGTTGGTTAATGAAACCTCTTGTCCCCTTAGTGAAATGTTAATTTCTTGCAGCTCCAGGCTGCACTCCCATGTCCATCAGTCTAGACAGGGAACGGAATCATGTCCTTTGGCGTGCTCCTCGTTATGGATAAAGGGAGTGTGTACATCTTAGGTTTAGTCAGGGCATACTAAAGCACTCCCAACGATACATACATCTCAAACAAGTGTTGTGTATTTGGTCCCTTTGGATGTAGCACACCTATAATTTTATTGTCAGCAAAATTGCTTTATTTAGATGTAAACTGTGATCATCTGGGACTGAAGGAGCTAAAGTAATTGTTTGTGGACACTTTCTGAGTTAAATGACCAAGTGTAAATATATATATTTTAAAAATTCAAGTTTAAAAGTTTATATAAATTTTTGCGATCAGTGCCAGGGTCATGACAGTATTGCTTTAAAAAACAAAAACAAAACCCAGTTTATGTTACAGTTTTGCTAAAAAATAAAAATTATGCCTAAATACAAAAGGTGCCGGTACTGCATACCACCATGGGAAAAAAAAGCCTGCTTGTGATTAGTTTGTGATATATAATTGATGATGGTTTTAGGGAGCAGTGATAGTGTGGTGGTAAGATGCTTAACTGCCATACCAATGGTCATGGGTTCAATTCCATACACACACACACACACACACACACACACACACACACACACACACACACACACAAAAGAAGAATTATGTGCCTTTTCCACTGTGAAGGTTGTCGACAGTATATCACTGCCTAGTTTAGGAATATATTCTAGTAAGGCCCCAGTCTCTTCTAAGGTGTGACTCTCGTACTGTTGTCTGAAAACAAGGAGAACCGTAAAAAACAAAAAAAATTATAGTGGTGAATGAACCCTACTACTTAAAGATCGTGAAATTATTAACTACATTCACTACATCTAAGCCAATAAGCCACAATCTTAATCAAGGTGGATTTTTTTAAACTGACTTTTTAAAAACTGACTTTTTAAAAAACTTACTTTTTGATCTCTGAGGTCAAGTGGTCAGCCTGTTAGCCTGATGCTCAGAAGGTCATGGGCTTATTTCACGGACATGCTGTTTCAATTCACAAGTCTAGCTTTTACTCAAGATTCCTGGGGAACATAGCTGGAGCTACTGGGTTCATACTTTGTGTGACACTCTTGGCAGGCGGCAAGCTGTTTTTTGAAGGAATACTGGGTTATAGGGAATAAAACCAAGTGCAATGAAGTCTATCCTCCCAACTTTACTTTTTAAACTAACCTCAGCTTCCGCGTTGACCCAGTCTGAACTTGGTACCATATTTCTTGAGGAAGCAGTTGTTTTTCTTTCTGGGGTATGCAATAGTATGCAGTACCAGCACCCTTGAAAGATATTTTTTGTTTTTGTTTTCAGTGCTACTATAATAGACATATTGTGGTCAGTACGGAACTTTTTGATTTTTTTCTAAGCACTGTGTGCTGAGTACCAGCACCCTTTTTCTAGAAAAGAAAGCTCTGTCGGCCAGTGAAGGTCTCCAGTAGGATGTTGACAAATACATACAGGTGACGAGACATATAAACATACAGACAGGAATATTACCACGTAACCAAGGAACCTCCATGTGTGAAAAAAGTCCTTTACTTGTCTTTTTTATTGTCCATGTTTGTCTTTTTGTTTGTGTGTTATACGATTACATGTTGTATCTTTTACACAGTGCCATATCTATTTATTTATTTATACACTTTTAACTTCGCTGGAAGTAACTATTCCACAAGGTACAAATGTTACATATTTGATATGGAAGTAATTTTCTCTTTTTTACATCCAGAAAATCTACCCAAAGTAGTATGTTATATGAGTGCAGCCAGCATATACCTGTATGTTTCAATGTATGATTGCCTATTTGTCATTGTTTGCGCCAACAAATATGTCAAGTGTGATTTTACTTGTCAAGTTTAGCCAGAAGATGCTAAAAAATATGTACAGTTGCTATTTTTAGATATTTTAACCACTCTGAAAATAATACACTTGTCATTTTGCTATTTTCATTCTCTTTTTGTTACATACAAACTGGCAGTAGATGTTTTTTCTTAAACTGTTCTTACTTACACTAATATGTATTTGTTAAGAACGGTTGAAAATCATAAACATAATGCTGTATATTAAAAAGTATAGGAAATTTTTCACTCCTTTAGGGGTACTGGGGAATACAGTAAGTAATACTTAGTAAGAGACACTTTTCGGTGCCTTCCGGCTTATTGAGCATTTAGGGCAAGACCGATATTTTATAGATCAATTGGCACTCGTTAGATGATGCGGTCAGCCCCTCCAACCCCTCTTGATGTACTTCCTGCCCCCACACAGAACGAATAATTGTAATCTGCGACAGCTTTTGGTGCCTACACTGCACTGCAGCCATACAAACTAAGGTTCAAGACAACCCCTACCTATAGCGCCACAAGGTTAGTTGCGTATCTTTACAGGACGTTTCAGAACCAACCCCAACAGCCCCTGGCTGTTGTGTGGTTTTTCCAGGCAAA